TTTAAAACACATGCTCAAAGTAAACCGGATTTTGCCGATGTGCTTATGTGGATTCAAAAGTCGTAAATAATCTACAAAATGGAGGAGACCGATCTGATCGGAGCAACTGTGACAAATAAAACCGGCATGGACAATGACTATGTTTTAAAAATGCGCTTATCCAGACAAGCCCGGTTTGGACACTTTACGGCAGGAGAAACATTTCTATTAAAGAAATAATTATACATTTCTGTCTTTGTATGCCTATAATAGCTACTAACTTGAATTTGTATTCAAATTAATTAATCAATTATTTTCTATATTTTATTGTAATGTAGAGACAAGGCTTTTAGTGACAATCATGTATTGCGTTCCAATTATATGTAAAAAAATAAAATTAAAATAAAGTCTAAATATGATATTTGGCCTCAAATCATCTGAGGCCTGCGATCTTTGGCGCCCCCCCAGGTTGGGAACCACTGCCTTAGATGGACCAACGTTTTTTTAGAAGTCATATTTTCATAGCCCTTTGTGATAGATGCATTATTATCTTTTGATTGACAGAAGACATCTTGAAGTAAAGGTTGTTGTTGTTGTCATTTGACCTCTATAAGTAAAAATGGTCTCATTTTACCCCACCCTCCCCTAGCAGCCTTTTGACACCCATGGAAGCAGCTGATGTTTTCTGATAATGAATGTTTCTCTCTCTCGTGACCTTTTGGGTGCAGAATATGGAACGTGTGACCTCTGTGCTCTCACCCAGTCACTTCCACTACATGAGGCACGTGAAGGCAGATTCCTCCAGGCATTGTCCCATGATGTAATGCTCTTCTGAAATGCATTTAGTTGAGAACTAACTCAAGTGGTCCAGGAAAAGGCAGCTGTGGGCTGACAGTAATTAGGAGTGGCAGGAAACACATTTGCCCCCTGCTAGCATGCCCTCATGTTAAGATGTGAGCTCAACATTTAGACCTGGCTACTTCACAGAAGAACAACATTATCGGCACAGCTTTCCACCTTTTATAACAATACTGCACATATTTATCTCTTGACTATGTTTATGCACCATATACACCAAGGAAAATTCTTCATATGTGTAAACCTACTTGGCAATAAACCTGTTTCTGATTCTGCAAATTCATACAATGATTTTCACAATGATACATGGATGTATTCCCATGCAGTTGAAAGCACCGTGACAACCTGTGCTACTACACAGCGTTTTATGACAAAGTGTCACATTCCACTGGGACCTTTTATCACGAGCACAGCTCAGAGATACACAGCAGTACATTCCTCTAGCCAAACACTGGAGCTGACACGCAGCAGCAGCAACCGCCAGACGACACTTGACAAGGGCCATGCAGTGATTTTTTGAATTTATTTAGCAAAAGTCCTTCTTTTAAAGGAGGTAACAAATAGATGTGTCCACATGGTAAAAAAAGAGAAATCAGACAGAGAGCTGAAGGGACACTGGCCTAATGCTGTTCTATTTAAAAGGTGTCACATCAGCTTCAAAACACCAGAAACAGACGGCCAGGCAGATTCTCCATTCCTGAGGCTCCAGATCAATGGAGCCTGTGTACTTTCACTGTTTTAAAACACATACTGTAAGAGAAGCACAGACATGTTTATTGTCAGAGATGTGCTGTATGTGTGTATGAGTTGATGGCTCTTCAGTATTTAGTGCATGCCTTAACATATCCAAATACTTCAAAATACAAACTGCATCACTTTGTTATATTTATACAAGAGGAAATAATTCTGCATCACTGAGTGTTTAGAGATCTAATGCAGATAAGTGCAGCAGGAATTTCACATGAATGATGTCATCTTAGTTAGAGCCTGCTGTTTCAATTGTATAATATTATAAATAGCTGTACTTTAGACAAAGAGCCTGAATAATATCTATTTGTGATGAGTGCAGATATGTAAGGACTAATATGGTGATTGTGTTGTGTCTAATTGGCACGGCTCAATGATTTGCAAACTGCAAAATATGTGCTACTCTCCCTCTTTTGTGCTGTATCTCATCTGGCCTAGAGACTGGACACAGTTGTCGTGCAGAGATATGGTCCTGATGAGGACAGTGCAGTGTGCAGACCAGAGGACGGACTCTAACCCCGCTCAACACCTGAGGTCTGTACTACGAATCCAGTTCAACATATCTGGCTTAACTAACCCAAAACAAACGCGATCTCGCTAAGCGGTCCTACGACGCTGGTTATCAACTCGGTAACTGAAGCCAGGGTGCGCCAGAGTGCGCGTTCACAACAAAGGGGCGGGGTTAGCAACATTTGACCAATCACAAACATGGACAAGTGTACTGACAGCACAGCGTCATACTTCCTGAATGAAAAGTCAACTATAATATTAGACAAATATGAAGACATTAAACTTTAAACATCCATGACTTAAACACTTTATCCACCTGCAAGGTGAATACAGCTGGTAACAGAAAAAGTGTTTGAATGCGTACATTAACAGGTTTATGACATCTCTGCCCCGTCTAAGACACCATCTGACTTTAATTACATTGGTCTCGAGTGTTTCGTCAACTTAAATAATCCTTCTGCATCCAGTATGTGACACTGTAGTGTTGCATGGCCAGATACAGCTCAGCTGACTCAGATAAGGAAATATATGATACATTATGATGTGATATGATGTGATATGAATGATAATGGGACACATTGACGTCTGCACTCACATTGACGTCTGCACTCACAGTGCCGCGGACTGTACATGCATGTAATGTTACTTTGATCCGGTTACTTATGTTGTGGCAGATATTTAAGTAAGCTTTCTTAACGCTAATGTTATAATAGTCAGATTGCTCTGAAGATGGGAGGTGATATTCTATTAATGTTCACGTTCACACAGTCGGTGATTTTTGCCGGCCGTCTTTCCTGCAACGGCAGTTTTTCTGTATTTCCTTTCTCCTGTAATATGACTTGATCGCTTTAATCTCCGCACACTGAGCTCTGATTGGTCAGCAGGCAGTGCTTTCACTGAGTTGAGCTCTTAGCCTGCAACCTAACCTGCTCCGGGGCAGGTTAGCCGCTCAGCATCAGTTACCATGGAGATCTAGCCTGCTAAAAAGAGAACCAGCTTCGTAGGACCGGAAACCCAGAGTTACGCTGAAGTTAGCCGCTAAGAGAACATCCTGCTTCGTAGTATACCCCCCTGATAAGAGAAACCGCTGAGTCCTGACCCTGTGTTTCCATGTTCCTCCTCCAGGGGGCGCCATCACGGTGCCTCTGCAGGACGTGACGGTGGCTGAGTCGCAGACGGCGGCGCTGGAGTGCGAGGTCGCCAACGCCTCAGCTGAAGGTAGCTGGCTGAGAGAAGGTCAGCCGGTTGACTTCAATGACAACGTGACGAGCGAGACGAAGGGCTGCGTCCGCCGGCTGCTCATCTTCATCACCAGGCCGCAGGACGTGGGGGAGTACAGCTACCAGGTGTCCAGCTCCAAGACCAGCGCCACCCTGAGGGTGGAGGGTGAGTTACAACAACAACAGAAAGT